CTAAAATATTACATATTAATTTTAAATAAATAAGCATTTTTTACGACTTTTAAAATAAAAAATGGCGATTGTTTACTTTTGAAGGAATTTTTTATTTGGTGATTTATTTAAAATAGAAGAGCCTTTAACTGTAAATTTAACAATGGAATGTAATTAAACAATGGAAGAATTGTCTTTTAAAGAAAAAAAAATATTCTCCTATCATAATGTCGTTCCACAAATTTAGAAAAAAAAATATTGCCTCAATTTTTTTTCCAAAAAATAAAAGAACTAAAATACTGCGTATTAATTTTAAATAAATAAGCATTTTTTTACGACTTTTAAAATAAAAAATGGCGATTGCTTGTTTTTATTTTTTATTTGGTGAAAAAAAAAATATTCTATCATAATGTCATTCCACAAACTTAAAAAAAAAAAAAAANAAAAAAAAAAAAAAAACAAACATTGTCTCAATTTGTTTAGAAAAAAAAATAAAGGAACTAAAATGAATAGAACTAGAATATTAATTTTAAATAAATAAGCATTTTTTTACGACTTTTTAAAATAAAAAATGGCGATAGCTTATTTCTGAAGGAATTTTTTCTTTGGTGATTTATTTAAAATAGAAGAGCCTTTAACTGTAAATTTAACAATGGAATGTAATTAAACAATGGAAGAATTGTCTTTTTTAAAAAAATAAAAAATATTCTATCATAATGTCATTCCACAAATTTAAAAAAAAAAAAAAACATTGTCTCAATTTGTTTAGAAGAAAAATAAAAGAACCAAAATACTACATATTAGTTTAAAATAAAAAAACGCTTTTTTTACGACTTTTAAAATAAAAAATGGCGATAGCTTATTTTTGAAGGAATTTTTTCTTCGGTGATTTATTTAAAATAGAAGAGCCTTTAACTGTAAATTTTTCATTAATGCGGCGTAAAAAGATTTTGCATAGATTTGTATAGGCTACCACTGTTTTCGCAGTAACTATTCCCACAAACCACCTGTGCTGGGAATGATATAACTATTATTATTCCATGCTTAAATCATTCAGTGGAATCAATCGTTTTTATAAAAATTACGCATAAATCTCAAATTTTTGATTGCTAAAAAAAATTCTTTAGTTTTCTTTAAAAATTGTTTTCAACTTTGTTACACTTGAATGATCTACTTTTTTCTTCTTTTGGTGGAACTCCTAATTGTCAATTGTGAAAATCTTAACACTAGAATTTTAATAATTTTGAACGTGAGGAATGAAATAAATTTTTTTGATCGTTTCATCAATTAAAATTAGTTTTTATCTCGGAAAGTTCCAATCTGGCTCGGCATCGAGTGCAGTTCAGAATTCATTTTTGCTTTATGCATAATCTTTAAATGACTAGAAAATAAAATACGCTAAATTGTGGTTGTGTTAAAATTGACCCTAAAAAGAACTGCTATAAACGTTGAAAATGTTTGTCGGAGGACCAAATCAGTTTGTATGTTTAGAATTTGAAAACTCTAAACGAAAATAAGAAAGCAATTCTTAAAAATGCTGCATTTTCATAATTTATTCAATAGATTGTTATTAGAGTAGTAGTAGTACTTTATTTACGTCGCAATAGAACTGCATCATGGGCCATTGACATTTGTCTGAGAAACATCCCTGAGGTTGATCCGAAGCCATGCCATCCCAATTTTATTCTATTGCAGAAGGGAGGATGACCCGACGACCTGTATGTGAAGTTGAGCACTTTACGATCGGTTAATTTTCAAGAAAACGGTCATAAAAGTGCCTATTTTGCCAAATACACGTGTTTGATTAATGCTGACATCTAGTTTAAAATAAACTAACTATCTACAGTTATCTTAAAAATATCCTGGTATTGCCATCTGGTGCGTGAAAGGAGAAATAAAATGTTTTCCGGGCAAACGAAATGAATTAGTTTTATTCTTATAGGCGCGTTACTACTGAACACTCCAGCCTGGAAATTTCGCTGGAGCGAGAAATAGAGGGCGAAACCTTGCCCCGTCATTTTCACGGGAGCGAGAAGGAAGGGGTTATGGTGCAGAAGTTTAAGTTTAGCGAAGACTAATACCAAACAACCTCGTTCCCTTCATCTACTGATCAAAGGATCATCCACTCTCTAACTGACCGCGGCTAGTGGCTATAATGTCGGCCATTATCAGCATACAGGTAGTGATCGTAGATTTGTCAGGAATGTTTGGCCGTTAGCAACACATCTTAATTATGGATGTAAAAATGATAATTGTCTTAAGGAAATAATAAAATCGCCTAAACAAAATTAATTTATTAATTATGAAAAATGATCACAATTCAAAAAAAATATAATCATATTGAAGGAGAGAAATCCCTTAAAGGGATCAAATTAAACACTCCCCCACATCAAGAGTTTTGACAGCATGGATAATAATGATATTCAATTGTCGGGACGAAATTTGAAATTGAAAGTAAATGTGAATAAAATTGAAAGTTCCCAACGGACACAGGAGAAGCATGGATAGGAGATCCAAAATTGGCGAATTATCACAATATAACAAAGCCAACCCAGTATGTCAATATTAAGTTTGAAAATACCTTGGCAATCACGAGTCGCCAACAAAACTGTGAGAATTAGTATAACCATATAACGGAAACATATTTGTGGTAAGAAATTTAAGAATAAAGAGTTATAAACAGATTTTTGTTTTCGATTAAGTGCGACAGTGAATTAATGAGTCTACATTGGTAATGAAATAAAAAGTTAACCGTTACATTGATCGATAAGAAATGAATAAAATATTTTATGCTCGCTACAATAAAGATTAACTTATTGATTTAATTTAAATATAATTCGATTAGTACGATTATAAGTTTAAGTAATTAAAGATATTTTAAAAGGTAGGAAATATGTGGCATCACAGTGATGCTTGACTTACTTGATCTTAAAATAATCGAAATATTAATCAAATAATGAGTTATTGAATAAATATGTGAATATAATTTCTGGTTAAATAAAAGGAATCCAAACACTTGGAATCCTACCGACCCTTCCACGGAAACTTAGGGTTCCGCGAAATACCTTTAGGGCACCACTGGTCTAAGTAACTGCGGATTATTATATTTGAAGTCATTTAAACATTTTTAATTACATCTTCAAAACATTTTTGAATTATTTATTTTCATGACTAGAATATATAGTATAACAGTTTTTTTTCTTCTTATTTATTGATCGATATATTTGTCCTCTTAGGTGTCGCAGTGTTTGTAGTTAAGATTGCTATCGTAGAGATATGCTGTGATATTATCTGCTATTTTATAAGGGTCCTTTGACCTAACAACAAAATATTTTGTCAGCAAACTTTTTATTTTCTCAATTATATGTTCCTTTCATTGATGTGCGCCGTTGCCATCGCAAATTTTTTGTAAAAACTCATTGGATTTTAAATAAATGCCGAAGGGGGGGGGATCTTCGCCGGGCCTCTCGACCGGTGCTGACCTACCCCTCTTCACAGGGCCGTTTTATCCATTAGGCACTGTTGGCAACTGCCTAGGGGCCCCGCCACGTTCAGGGGCCCTGTGCTACAGAGAAAAAAAATTGACAATGTTTCTTAAACAGTAAAAATTTAATTCGAAATTTCAATGACGATTGTCTTGCTCTGTACATTACATCGACGCTATTTTAGTACATTTCTGAACTCATTCCAAATTAGATATTAATATTACGGTAGTTAGTTCATATATAACGCAGTAATATAATCGCAAGCAATTTTATCGCGGTAATTTTAACGCCGACTAATCAGATGACTATACAGCAAGAGCAGCTTTTTTAACACAACACGCTTGAAAAACGCGCAAAATTCTACGTTGTGAATGCACACTTACTGTTCTGGTACCTGGTACCTACCATAGGCTTGTATATTCTATGGCCAAGCTACCAAAGAGTATGTAAAAATAAGGTTGGCAGTACTGGTTTGTTCGTCGCATGACTGGGGAATTCCCCGATCCGCTAAATACAGACTTTGTATTGTGTCATAGACAACATTTTTGAAACATTTTTAATGTAATCGTTGAATTTTCACTTCGGCTGAACGTTTCCTTAAATTTCTTCTCATACAGAACCACAAAGGGGAAGAACTAGCCACCGAGAATTGAAATTAATTAAAAACTGTCTTCGTTCAACTATGTCTCAAAACCGTTTAAATTCATTGGCCATAATGGCAATTGAAAATGATGTATTGGAAAAGGTTAACTTTCAGGATGTCTTGAACGATTTTGTAACAAAAAAAGTTAGAAGAGTTAATATTTAAGCTTATTGTATGATTTTTTTTTAAATGCATATATTAATTACTCATATTCTTTTCGTTTGATTCAATATTTTTATTGAATAATGTGATAATATACTATAGGTAATATACTGTGATATATAATAATTAGGAAGTTAGAAGACGGTAGGGGAGAGGGCCCGAGACGAGCATTGCCTAGGGACCGCGACATGCGTAAGCCGGCCCTGCCTCTTCACCTGAGAGGGAGAATTTGTCTGCTCATCCCCGCATACCCATGTTAGGGGAGGGCGAAAACTTTACCTTAGACAATGATCGAATGAGTGGTCTTTCATAAAGGATGGTAAAAGACAGATATAAAATCGGTTTAACTCTTTACTCTTAGCCACCATGGTCAAGAACCATGTTTCTGCTCACTGAAACATGGTTCTTTGACATCAGACATGGTTCTCTTAGACACCAAAGAACCGTGTGATCTGTTCACTGAAATCTATCACCCTTGAAGATGTATGAAATTCAAAATAATATTTTAAAACAAACACTTTTTTTTATCTACATTTCCCAGCATATTATAGGGCTGACCGACGATAATGAACTCCGACAGGTGTAACAATTGTGTATGAAAATTAATACAACGGCAAAGTTTTCGTATTCTTATTTCCAAATCTCTCATAATATTGAACGTGCCACTGTCAAAAGAAAGAAATATCACGTGTATCGCTACGTACTCAAATGCACTTTGTATGTTTTTTCAGTTCCTCCTAAAATTTCTGAGAATGTGACAAGTTCGGACACAGATGTTCGAGAAGGTTCTGACGTCTCTCTGAGGTGCGAAGCAAAGGGATCGCCCCTCCCACAAGTGAAGTGGAGAAGAGAAGACGAGAAAGACATCACAATAGGCTCCAAAAAAGGTACTCTGCAGTAGACAATAGGTCCATATGTATCTTGAAATATCCATATTTTTTAAACTATAGCAATATTATCTCACGATATATTGTGAATACAGAAAATATCAACACACTATAAATATTAAAAAAAAATATTAATAAACAATTAATATCGATAAGTATCAACGCACTATATATATTGTTAAATGATAATTATTTTATAACCGTCGTTGAACAGCTGACCCTATTTTGGGTTTAGGACTTCTAATGTTCAACTCTTTAGCCCTGTAATTTTGAACCCAATCCAGAAGACACGGTAACTCCTGGATTTGAGAAATTTGCCTTTGTAAAGGACTTTTTTGATGGAACTAACCCGCATTTGCGTTACATGGAGAGAAAGATCACGAGAACCTCTCATGGTTAGCCTGACGGCAAGGGGACTCTAACTCATACGTCTACCACTGAGAATATTTCACGTCAACACTGTGGTCATTGCAAGCCGAATGTGGAATTCGTATCGATTGTGATTCGAACCCGGATCGCCTCATTGGAAGGCAAACGAGCCATCGCGACCTAATATATGCTGAAAAATATCAGCACACAATAAATATCGGTACATGATAAATACTCAAAAGCAACGACACATGATGAGCAAAAAGTCAATTTGCTATTTTTATTAAATATGACAATAACACATTGTTTCGGAAGAATTTTAATGTATAAAAATTGGCGGTTTTATTTATATACGAACACAAGAACTATGCGTTTACTATCTCTTAATTTACATATCGTTAAATGTTTATAATTACTAATTAATTTTAGAATAATAATTATCCGACCCTTCCACGGNTAATTATTTTTTTTTTTTTTTTTTTTTTTTTTTAAGAAAAATGTCTTTTTTGTTTTTCATTTGTGCAAGAAAACTTTGTTGAATATAAAAAAATATGTAAATAAGTTGTATTGAAAAGTTACAATAGAACCTAAAAAAATTGATTTTTTCCAACGATATATCATCAAATAGAATGTTCTGATATGGTCCAGGACTATTCTACAATCCATTAAGGTTACTCGTAAATAGGATAAGAAACATCATTTTTTAAAAGCATATCTGAATTGCAACTGTATCATAATATTAACATTCTTTTACTTTTTATAAATTAAAATAATTTAACACAGATTCGTATTCAATAGGCAATCACGCTCATCAATTAACAAATTTATAACTCCAAAAATAAAGTTCTACAGTATTGGCCATTTAACATCGGTATATGCCCAGATTAAAATAACACAGTATTTATCACCTGCGTTCACAGTATTTATCACAGAAATGCTTTGTAAATGACGTCAATTTCCTTCAATTACCAAAATTAATCTAATATTTATCACCATGGTGAATAAACAAGGTGCACCACATCGTGATATCGCTTGCCAATGAGATCCCAGCGGTGACTGGTCGATACGATTTCTGCTCCTGGCTTGTACCGCTTACAGTGTTGACGTAAAATATCCTCATAAACGGATCGTGGGTTAGAATCCTCTTGAAGTCCGGCTAACAGTGGGAGGTTTTCGTGGTTATCTTCTCCATGTAAGGTAATATACGGGTCCTTCACGAAGGCTATTTTGACCCAATGCTTGATCTAGTTTCCTGACTTCTGGGCTGGATTTAAAAGTACAAGACTACGTAGTTGAACATTGGTAGTCGTGCACTAATGAAATAGGCCAAATGTTCAACGCCGAAAATAAAATAAACTAACCACGATTGTTTCAATATTAAGTAAAATTCGAATAGTGCTTTCGTCACTTTTAGATTTGCTGACAGTTATTAAACGGGTACTTAAAATGGCATCAAAAGTTCCAGTTTAAATTCCAACTCCACAAATTATACTCCAAAGTTTTTGAGTCATTTTTATTTGTCCCATGCCCTCTTATGGGGTTATAGTTATTGACATCGGAGGTGTTACTATTTCTCGGTACACTGTTAAAAATTCAGGGCCACGTTGAACAAAAAGTTGGTATTCATTTGCTGGCTACATAAAATGGAGCTCAATTTTACCATATTTTGGGATTGGCCTATAAGGTTGCTCAAAAAGTAGTTGTTTTTGAAGAAATGAAACACCAATTTTCATTCTTTCTTTTCTTTTATTAAAGCATAAAAAGCTTGCATCATTATTCGTTGTTACAATTTTGTATAATTATAATAAAGTTTATTTTAAAGTTTATTTCCTTCCTAACATCCATATTTCATACATTCAATCAAGAAACAAACATTAAGTCTGGTGATTTGACCGGCTATGGTAGAAATTGGTATACATTAAGTGTTGGTTTGTTTAGTGTTAAGAAACTAAATGTGCAGCGCTAATTCAATGCGTGAAAAAAAATATATAGTTTGCTAAAACATTTAAAAGTTATATATTCTATTTCCGTCAAGAATGAAAATATTAAGAGTTATGTTGATCAACAACAAAACAAATTAGCATGACTTAAATGAATGAGGCTCTCTCTGCTAGCTAGTCACGATTTAGTTGATTATTCTATGAATCATGAATAATGATATGTTTAGATCTCAAAAAGAAAACTAAACAGACTTTATTTACATGAAACACCCATTAGAGGCACGAAAACTATGAACGTCATTGATTTTAAAAGATTAACGTTTATTAGTTTATTCAGAGCTATCTTTTTAATTCTAAAACTTTTCATGAATTCATTTATAATTCTGTAAAATTTATATTGGATTCTTCTTGCATTTTTACCTAGTATCGATAAATATAAGAAACTGAAAGAAAAAAATTGCAAATTTTCTTGAGTGGCATAAAAATAAAATTGGAAAAAAAATGTTTTAAGTTTGTATGAAGTATATTCGAGGTAAGAAGAGAAATCAAATACATTTCAGTTAGAATTTAATTGATTATGTTGCATAAGAGTATCAAAAAATCAAAATTTCTAAGTAAATATATAAAATTTTTTTTTTTTTTTTTACTCATATACTCTTTTTGTCGGAGACCATTTACATCCGATTAAGATCCTAAATTTTTTATTCTTTATCAGAATTATTACCAGTTTCGATTTTGATTGTTAAAAATGGTGAAACAGGTTCGAACAGCTGAATCAAAATATTAGCAACCTTTTAGTTAAGGAAAACGTCTCATTCTGTTCATTCATGCAAGAATGCAATTTATTTTTCTCCACCCAAAAGACATTTTAACCCCTTAAACGGTGACATATAATCCAGAAAAAGGAACCAAAAATGGAAAATAAATTTGACTCTTTAATTTAGTTCTTTAAATTATCATGAAAGTTCGAAAATGGTTTTTTATTACAAAAATAAATTTTTAAATGCAGTAACTACTGTATTTATAATTTTTACATGCACATAAAAAAAGTAATGGATTACACATACATCTTATTCAATTGGAGTAAATATAAAAAAATTTGAAGCTAAATGAAATATAACTAGTATAATATAAAAACACAACAATATGATTTTCAGTACATAAATTTTACAAATCTTTTGCAGTATGGTATGTCCCAAAACATACACAAGCCCTTCTTTGCATTACCCACATTTTCCCTCCCTCGACTGAAGTCGTAATCGGTGAAAAATTAGGACCACTAATGCCATCTATTAGGAAAATAGTGAATTAAGAATCCTAAAGTAACTCAGCTCGTACTTCACAAAATAGAAACGTTAATTTTTCTCTTGCCCGTACTCAGTTCGGGCATCACAAGAACTGCACGTAGCAATGGTTCGAACTGGATTCGAGCGACGTTGGCATGGGGTTAAAAAATATTACAATAGTTAAGTGTTTACATTAATGTTAACTATTTTCTTTCTTAGTTCCCACTGTGGAAGGAGAATTTTTAAATATAACGAAAACGAGTAGATTGCATATGGCTGCCTACCTCTGTATAGCATCCAATGGTATTCCTCCAGCGGTCAGTAAAAGGATCATGCTTAACGTTAATTGTAAGTATACATGTCATTTATTTTCTTAACCCTTAGCTTACGGCTGGTGCAACTGGTGGTCCAGAATAGCAGGTGCTATCAGACGCCGTAAACAAAAGGTTAAATAAAGGAAAATTTCTAAAATAATATTTATCTCTATTTAGCCATACTCATACCTACACTAAAAAATTAAGAGAATTTTTAGACTTGGTTGGTTATCTCTCGAACTACTGGATCGAATTTAATGAAATTTGATATGTATATATGTTACGGTGAAACACCGAAATCTGGAGAATGTCGACATTCACCTGTGAATGTCAACATTCACGTAGTCGCTTGGTGTATGTCCGAAATATTTACTAAATACCCTTATTTCTGACTCTCCCCGGTGAATGTCGACAATCACATAGTCGCTTTGGTGAATGTCCGAAATATTTGTTATATCCAATTTTATATCAATTTATTCGTTAATATTATTATATTTATTTGATATATTTATATTTATTCTATATTTTAATACTTACTGACGATAGATTAGAAGAAACATCAGTGTTTGGAGTATCGGGCAAATATATACCGGGCAATGGCACTTGATCTTAAAAAAACATCAGTGTAGGGTTAAAATATCGAATAAATGTAATTATATCCACGAATAAATTCATATCAAATCGAATGTAATAAATATTTTGGACATTCACCAAAGCATATCTGTGAGTGTCCGGATGTACAAGAATGTAATGAAATATTCCATCTTTCACCGACGTATTTGGTGTTTGTTGACATTCACCGGTGAAAGTCAACAATCACCGATTTCGGTCTTTCACCGTGACATATACATTAATGCACTACAAAACAAATAACCATTTAACAACTCTAATACACACGAATGATTACACACAACTCTAATACGCACGAATGATTGCACACAACTCTAATACACACGAATGATTACACACAACTCTAATACACACGAATGATTACACACAACTCTAATACACACGAATGATTACACACAACTCTAATACACACGAATGATTACACACAACTCTAATACACACGAATGATTACACACAACTCTAATACACACGAATGATTACACACAACTCTAATACACACGAATGATTACACACAACTCTAATACACACGAATGATTACACACAACTCTAATACACACGAATGATTACACACAACTCTAATACACACGAATGATTACACACAACTCTAATACACACGAATGATTACACACAACTCTAATACACACGAATGATTACACACAACTCTAATACACACGAATGATTACACACAACTCTAATACACACGAATGATTACACACAACTCTAATACACACGAATGATTACACACAACTCTAATACACACGAATGATTACACACAACTCTAATACACACGAATGATTACACACAACTCTAATACACACGAATGATTACACACAACTCTAATACACACGAATGATTACACACAACTCTAATACACACGAATGATTACACACAACTCTAATACACACGAATGATTACACACAACTCTAATACACACGAATGATTACACACAACTCTAATACACACGAATGATTACACACAACTCTAATACACACGAATGATTACACACAACTCTAATACACACGAATGATTACACACAACTCTAATACACACGAATGATTACACACAACTCTAATACACACGAATGATTACACACAACTCTAATACACACGAATGATTACACACAACTCTAATACACACGAATGATTACACACAACTCTAATACACACGAATGATTACACACAACTCTAATACACACGAATGATTACACACAACTCTAATACACACGAATGATTACACACAACTCTAATACACACGAATGATTACACACAACTCTAATACACACGAATGATTACACACAACTCTAATACACACGAATGATTACACACAACTCTAATACACACGAATGATTACACACAACTCTAATACACACGAATGATTACACACAACTCTAATACACACGAATGATTACACACAACTCTAATACACACGAATGATTACACACAACTCTAATACACACGAATGATTACACACAACTCTAATACACACGAATGATTACACACAACTCTAATACACACGAATGATTACACACAACTCTAATACACACGAATGATTACACACAACTCTAATACACACGAATGATTACACANTTTTTTATAGAAATTATATTTATTGAAAACATATAAATAAACATACAAAATATGTAAATTGAATTTAAATATTAAAAACTACACACATTTATTTTACTTCTCTTGGTAATTTTTTTAAAATTTGGTGAATAATTTGTGACAGCACTTCTCAGTAATTCTTTGAGATGCTGGTTAGTTAATACTGATCGGTGCTTGGATTTCACGAATTTTAAAGTGGAATAAAATGATTCACATAGGCACGTTGTTCCGAATATTGAAATAATTGAACAAGCGGCTTTTTTTTTGTTCAGGATACTTCGATTCTGGTACAAGTTTCCAAAATTCAGTAATCGACGTCGACTTATATTTTAATTGTAGAGCTTGATCGTCTTGCATCTCCATTAATTCTAATTCTTCAGATACTTTTCGGGTCATAATTATGTTGGAAATGGAAAACTCATCTCGAGGTTAATTTCAAGGTTAATTCATCTCGATCATCAGGTTAATTTCAAATGGATTCAGAAAAATATTAAAATAATATAGCACAAAAGTGAAAAGAGAACTCAGGTACATTTATTGAGAGCCACAAATAATCCTTCAAAGAGCCGCATGTGGCTCGCGATCCGCAGGTCGGCCACTCCTGGTATATACAATTGAACAAAACACGTTCGCAGTCCAAACTCCCAAAACAAAAATTGGCAAAATTCCAATCACAGCAGATTGTTATTATTTTTTGTTTTGCTTCCGGCAGAATGAAAACGTGATAAAACAAAAGGCATTGACGAATTCTGCTATGCCCGAGTTTACTCGGGATAATAAATATTTGCAATATATGCATACCCGAGTTATCTCGGGATAATCAGGGAAGCTGTTAAGTAACAGTTTTTTTCTTCAATCAAAGAATGAAACTAATTTAAGCAAATTAAGAACAAGGCAAAATAACATTTAAACTAATTATAAGTCAAAATGGAAGAGCGCTAAAAGCAGTTAAAACCAAATTTGTCTTATTTAAACAATTTAGAAGCACAAGTCGAGCAAAAAAAGAGTTTCTGAAGATGTGTATGTTAGTAATTTCGTCAAAGGACAGTCTGACTGTTAACACACAGGAGCCTTTCAGTCGTCAGTGGCAATACTAAAAACTGACTGTTCCCCCAGGCTCCATAATGGATAAACTAAATAAGGAAAAGCAGTCAAAAGTTCAAGCACGGAAATGATAATTTTATGATACACAAACGCAAATTAAAAGTACACTAATAATGAAACGCCCACATATAAGAAAAATAAATAAAGATAAAGTTACATTTAGAATAAGCAAATCAAAATAAAATATAAACTGACAAATCTTTAAAAATATACATAAATGGCCAAATCTTTAAAATCTTTATTAATATAAATTGCCAATTTTTTAAATCCTGGCGTCTCGGAGCACAAATCAGTTTTTGGTATTATCACTGATGACAGAAAGGCTCCTTTGTGTTAGCAGATAGTGTGTCCCCTGGGGAAGTGCTGTTTTTGCTAACATACATGTTTAGAAATTCTTCTTTTTTTGGTCCCACAGTGGACTGATCATTAAGACACGGTTTCGATCAACGAAGTCAAGCATCACTGGCTGTGGTCAGTGTGCGGGTGGGTGACCACTTGGATCAGTCTGCGTAGGGACCGAGGGTGTGTGGTATGGGTCCTCGTTAAACTGTTCTACCGTAAAGTGCTCAACTTCGCGTGCAGGTCGTCGGGCTACCGAAGCGGGGGTGCCATCCCCTCTGCAGAGGATCAAAATTGTGATGGCATGTCTTCGGATCATCCTCAGGGATGTTTCCCAGACCGTCACCAATAGCCCATTGTGCAGCTCTAGTGCGACGTAAATTTCTTTTTTTTTTTCTGCTTGACTTGTGTTTCTAAATTGTAAAGAATTTTTTTAGACAAGTAATCTAATCGGGGATACAGGTTTACTGTATAATCAAGGATATGAACCATTGCAAAAATATAATTCCAATTCATTAGTACAGTCAGACCTCGATATAAGGTCATCCCGGATATAAGGTCACTTTTCCCAATTCCCGGCTCACGGAATGGGAATCCTTTGTTACAGATTATCGGATATATGGTCAAGTTTTAAAAATCGTTATCGCTTATAAGGTCATTTTTATCCGAGGCGAGGGAAGCTCTTTTCTAAGAAAAGCCTATTTAACTTCCTTACAAGGCAATTACCCCTCTCGAGTTCTACGAAAATGTTGCAGCCAACAAACAAGCTACAATTTCTGAAATTGTTTCACAAATTGTGGACAGTGAAGACAATGACAGTGATCCTGAGACTGTAGATGTAACACAAGTGGAAGCCTTCAATGCAATAAATGTCATACGAAATTTTTTTACAAACCATGAGGGAGCTGAGGAACATTTTGAGAAGTTACAATATCTAGAAAACATTGTTCGAAAAACGAAACCAAAAACGAGACAGATCTGCATAAATGATTATTTTAAATAAGGTAAGATGTAATGTATGTATGTACACTTTGAGGAAATTTGCTAACAGCTTTATTTTAAATTAAAAAAAATTCTTAAAAATCTAACTTTCTTTAATTCTTAACTAATTCTGTTAAAATTTATTGACTTAAATATTTGATTTATGTCCGATCGTTTTCGTTTGTATTACTATTTTAACAAGTCATAATGTTTACTATTTACGTGCTTAGTTACGAACTGCTAATGAATCCGTTAAAAGGTCACCCCGCTTATAAGGTCACTTTTGCAATTTCCCTTAGGGTGACCTTATATCGAGGTCTGACTGTATATCAGACACGTTAATTCAATTCTATGGTGGAGTATCTTTTCATAGATGAAGGTTGACATTGTCGGTAACAACTCTCCCCACAGACCGTTGGTAGTCAGATTCGTAGTAAAATGAACGGAACGTGTTTAGAAATGAAGACATTTTGTTCATTTTATGTGTACTAAACTAACACTTTGATTGATGACTCTGTACCAATGTTTCGTATAAAAAATTACAAAATTTGGGGTAGAAACTTTTTGAGATTCTAAAAAAGTCTGAGAGCACTTTCGCCAAAACAAAAAAAAAATTTAACTATGTGCTATAATAGTGTTTTAGTCGATTTTAAGGTGAAAAAATAGGAAATATGAAGTCACCCGGTAACTTCGGGTCAAAGAAAAATTTCAAAAAAACACTAACAATCTAGCATAAAGTTTAACCTACTACTTTGAGCATAAGTTGGTGCAGATAAATAGCAAAACACAATGCTTAAATTTCATCAAAACAATTTTGAATTTAGTTACAATGGTTGTCAACAGATGGCCCTGTTTGCTAAAAAATAGCAAAACTTAATGAATAATATTCAGGGTTGCAAAACACCCACCTACCCAGTAAAACCCACTCTGAAAAACTCAGTAATACCCACTCTTAAATGGGTTTTACTGGATTTTTCTAAAATTGATTTCTTTTTTATTCTCTGTTATATTAAAGAGCTATTCTATTGAAATATATATGTAGTCTAGCCTAAAAAAATGAACCTATGGTGAAAAAGCTGTGTTTCGAGACTGGAGAATCACCTTGCTATCTAGATTTGATTGTATGGCCATTGATTATTCAGTGCCTTTGATTCGCAAAAGAAGAAAAAATAATAATAATAATTCCTCAAATATTTTTTAAGATTAAAATATAAATAAAAAGTAATTCGGTGTTAAAATAAGTTTTTAATGTGTGATGTATGTAAGTACATATTACATCTTGTATTGTGATGTCAGGAGAAACTTTTTTCAGATTTTTGCACCAATTTATTTGTATTAATTATTAATTACACTTTAATTGCCTATTGTTAAGTCAATTCATATTAAACTTAAGTATTAATATTAAAATAAGCTTTTTTTAAAATAAGGTACTTATCCATGCCCTCTCTTTTGAAAAAAAAACATGAAAAACCCTAAAGAACCCAGAAAAACCCACCCGAGTTGGGTTTTTCTGAAATAACCCGGGTTTTTTGCAACCCTGATAATATTTCAAAATAATACATATGCAAAAGATTGTAATCAAACTTGTGATATGTCAGTACTAGCAACCCACATTGTTCAATTAAGTAGTTGGTTTAAACCTCCTCAACCGGTAAGACAACATGTTTTAACACTAGAACAGATTACCCATGTCATCAATGATTTGAAGCTTCATCTGTTGAGAACTTTTGTAACTAAATTAAAAAAGTTTGATATTTCTAATTTCTACAGCTTTCCCAATGGACATACTGTTTGTTTAACTCCTTTTTCGTCTTTGTCTTCAAGATTATTAATTTTGAAATCAATCAGTTCTCTACTGGACACCTTGTAATATTTTTTTTTCCTTTTTTTAAAACAGAAATTCCAGTTCCTTCCTCTACATATCCATCATCAAAAAGTGGTCTAGCGAGCAGTAGAGCGGAAGGTACGGATACATACATATGTTAACTTTTTGTTTTGTTCATTCGTTCTGTTCCGTGTACTGATGTTTTCTGTTGCAGGTCCTCATCAGGCGACAGGAGAAAAAATGATTCGAACGTGGCACAAAGACGGAACTGAAGAAGGTGATTTTTTTTTTTTTAAATGTCTCACTTTTTTCATAACTAAATACATTCCCTGGCGAAATTATTAGACGCACTATATGATTTCCATGTAAAATTTTAAGTATCAGGTGATACTATACAGCTTTATTGTTAGACTGAAACCGATTTGCACTTGTTTACGTTCGTGTATCAATGGGTTAACATTGTAATGCAATATGTTAAAAATAAATNTAAACCGTCAAAAACCCGTCAAAAATGTCAAAAACTGAAGTTTGCCAAGAAAAAATATATAAACTTCAAAACTACCAACAGTTGCCATGCATTATATTGAAATTTAATTATACTATAGGTAATCAACAGGTTTTAAAATATTTTTAAATTAAAATTAAGGTAAAATCACAGATTTAAAATCTCAGAAATTTATATTCAAATGCATGTGCAGAAAAATTTTGCACAAAAATTTTTTAAATATTTATATTTAAAAAAATTTTTTTTTTCTTTTTGATACTTAAGAAAATTAAAAGTTTATTACTATGCATTTTTGACATATAAGGAACATATAACTAATATTTATAAGGAACTTACAAGTTATGTTGTATAAATACAAACTTGATACAAGTGTATGAAAAAAAATTTTAATGTTATACCGAATATCTTTATTATCCAGTATGTTAATTTGAATTTAAAAGTAGTTATATTTGTGAATAATGATAAATATAATTCATATTGTTTATTATATTTATTTATAATTATTACACTTATCATTTTAAAACAATTTTTACCTCTTAATTTTTTTCCCCCACTTGTATTAAGAATACAAATAATGCATATCTTGAAAGCAAGAAGTAATTATTCAACAGCTGAATATTTAGATATTCAACAAAACTATGTATATAGTATTCAGCAAAATGAAATTCACAAGTATTTGGATAAACTAAATTTTCAGCATAGTAAATGAATAGGCTGAATATACTGTAAATCGACACTAACTACTCTGTGTATTTAACAGAAAGCACTTAAATTTGTATTGTCTTATGTTAAAAAGATTATTAAGAAGATTTAAAAGAATATTAAAAAGATTTTTCTTTAAAAGATGTCTAATGTACAAAACTGCTAATGTTTATCTTTAAAAATGTCTAATTTTTAGTATAATCTATACTATACACTAAATTTGGTTATAAATAAATTTCTTAATAATATCACTGCAGATTTTCAATAACACATGAAAATGAATACATAATATTACAAAAGATGTGAGCTTTCAAAAGTACAAGATTTTGGTTACTATTCAAAATATAAGTGTTTCTTCAAAATTTTAAATTTATTTTTTCTAGAACATATTTAGAAACACTATCCTTTATAAAAAATATATAAATTTTATGTATTAATTAAATTTCACATATGAATATAGGTTTTTGACATTTTCGACATTTTTGACAGTGAGGTTTTTGACGTGACGGTTTAAACCATGGTTTAAACTGTCAAAAACTGTCACATGTCAAAAACCTACCAACCCTGGAGGTGATACTATACAGCTTTATTGTTAGACTGAAACCGATTTGCACTTGTTTACGCTCGTGTATCAATGGGTTAACATTGTAATGCAATATGTTAAAAATAAATACACATAGGAAGTATAAATAAAATCTCCTGAATAAAAACCTATTACATGTATGTTTAAATATAAAAGTATTGCCTATAAACTCGTGCAAAACATGTCATTATTAAAAAGATACAGTGCGTCTAATAATTTGGTCTAATTATCATAATATCTATATATATATTTCTCTTACACGGCGACAAAAAAAGCCTCATTACAACTCCCCGAATGGCAACGCTAGAAAATCGACCAATGATTGCCGCTGAAAATGTCACATGCCAAATCTAGCTGAGGTGGCTCAACATATAGCACTTTTAAAAACGGAAAATGAAATAACCAGAGAGAACTGAAATAAACAATTCCATACTATTAAGCTAGGCAGAAGTGAGTAGTCTTTGTCGATAGATCTCTATTTTAGTATTTTGTCGAAAGCGCTTTTTTTCACGAATTTATATATTACGAATTTATTTGACGATTTTTGATTTATATCAGGAATTTATTTGTTTTATCACGAATTTATTCTAAGACTTATACTTATGTTTTAACAAAGTTGTGAATCGTTCATAGTTATTATTTTTAAAAAACATAATGTTTTGTTTATGCAGGTTTTTCCATTGCTATTCACTTATTTCAATTTTTAATAGACTTAATTATAGCCAAAATTTTAACTTTTCTAAAGAGATATCAGTTTTCGAAATTTTATCTAAAGATTTTATACTATAGCACATTTCTAATAGGCTTAACGAATTGCATGTCATTTATTTGAATTCAAATTTATTTTAATGACTTAGTATTTATTAAAAAGACGTAATTTTTTTTTTAAAGAAAAGTTGTTATTTGGATTTGAATGATTGTTTTGAATTCTTAGAATTTTGTGCATTTGCAATGTACCTAAGCTAGTAGCGAGCGAAGCAAACCATATAAGATTGCGTAGCAATTTTCGGGGGTTGGCTTGCGTTTGCGAGCAGGGGGCGCAACCCACTAGTACTAATACAATACCTGATATAATAAATGTTCTATATTTATATAATATATCGTCTAATTTAGCCAATCGTCGAATTTATATTATATATCGCATAAATTAACCAATTCATGTATGAACGTGAACAAGTGCAAACCTGTTTCAGTCGTGTAAACACAATAAAACTGTTTAGTATCTATCACCTGATGATTAATATTTTATATAGAATCATATAGTGGGTCTAATAATATGGCTAGATACTGTAAGTAAGTCTTATAGTTTGATAAATTGGCAGCATTGAGCTAACTTAAAAATGCAAGCTCAGTGGTTAAAGCACTGGGATGGCATAGTGAAGAACTGGGGTTCAATTCTCGATGGAGCTTGAAAAATCACCCGGCTTCAGATCGATATATTAAATCCAGCTCAAGAGGTGATTGGTGTGCGATTTTGACCCCATAGTGACCATCATGCCGTTTGTTATGAAATTGTGGAACATTAACCTTCCTGGGGGACACGTTGGCACCCACAAAGGGCTATTACGGAAATGCTTTCTTAACTTAAAAGTTCAACTAATTTTTTAAAAAGCATTTGATGTAATACACATAAAAAAAAGTCGCTCTTTCAAATTCGGAATTTCATCTCCGTAACTGCCTTTCTATAAACTAATGAACATCCCTGGAAAATAATTTCTTACCATACATAAATTTAAATAAATCGATACAGTACCTTGTTCTCCATACAATTTTCTATAAATCGTGAGAATTTCCTGCTCATAAATATTATATTAATACTTCAAATAGTTACAGCGATGATAACTACGGTCTTTTAACGTAGAAAAAATAGAGACAAACAATTCACTTTTTAAAATTTTATATCGCGTAGACAATTGTAACGATTTAATTCAAAAATTTAGAGCTTTAAATGAAATAAAATATGTACCCGAACATAATGTATAGTTATGAAAGAGTTTTTTTTTTTTTATTTGTTTGATTTTTTTTTTCGCATTAGCAATAATCCGCTCTTTGTTAGGAAATAAAGGGGAAAAAATAGTGCGTGGAGTCCCTCCGCGCTGAAGAAGTTAAACTTCGCAACCTGCGACGTTAATTGTAGAAGAATCAGCAGTCGTAGAAGGATCACTAGTTCTATTCAACGACTCTTTTTCCTGCTCCGCTCGCTTCCGTGCTCTGTAATCACGGTAATATTGTGCATTTTTCCCTCGTGGACCTCTTGAACCAGTGGAAGTGCTTGTGGTTGCCTCATCGTCTCGCCCTGGAAAATGTATTTGTATTAATAATGTATGTGAATGCGTCATAATGTAATTTCAGAAGAGAAAACCTAACAATCAATTGATATTCACAAGAGACGTACCTTGACATAACCTTAAATCCGTCGCATTGTCCGTGGGATTGTTTTCACTCATTTTTTACAATTGTTATCCACTAAATTTGAAAATAAAAAATACTACCCTATTAAATTATATGTGTATCAAAACAAACTAAAAAAATATTTATAGAAAAACAATACTTTTATGACTTTTATTATTTTTATGCTAGTGAGAACCAAAACAATATGGAAATGAATGAGGGAAAACTGGATCCTACCACGTGATTTCCCGGCCAATAAAAATGCAGCGTTGAACGTTTAACGCAACCTTGTTGGAAGTCGCATAATAAATATAACTTCAAAAAATCAACAAAATTTGATAGGAAATAAAACATAATTTATCAGGGCGTGGTCCCATATAATTAAGATGTCATTTTTAATATATCTTATTTAGTAGTAAAGAATTATATTTTTGGAAAACCTATTACCATTTAAAGTTTTCTTTCCAAATTAAGAAAAACTATTTAGGAAATTGCTATAAACTTTTTAGATTTTAAAAAAAATTGAGATCTGGAAGTTGTCAAATAGAATTCAAAATAAAATTATAAAAAAAAAATATATTTATGTTTTTTGCGCATGCGCAGTTCGAAAATATTACTTTAAATACTCATAGCGCACTTTCTAACGATTTATTTTCAAATTTTAAAATGATATTTATATTTTAAATTAAAAATTACTTTAAAAAGTTTGTTTAAATTTAGTGAAAATTTCAGCAGTTATAGTAAAAAAGAAAACTAAGTCAAAGAAATTAACAGTTTTTTTTAAAATCAAAATCTCCATGTCTCAGTGAATATTTAAGCGAAATTGATCAAATTTTGAGCAGTTATTTCACATGATAATCAACGTATTTGACATGCGTTAAAAGCTCACCGCTGTATATTTTTAGTCATAAGACAACATTTTTTACTTTCGTAACTTACTGCCGATCCCATAAATCTCTGAAAAGTTTAAACTTTATTGATATGTGTGAGAAATTGCACGACTTTTACACTTTTAACGTTTTAAAATAATTCTCTAAGTATTTCTTGAGAAATATATTAAGAGTTACAGGTCAATACTTAAATAGGAAAAAGGAAGAAAAAAAAATTTTTATAAGACTATGGCGGTGAAAAGGATCAGGGGAGGAATTAAAATCATCTCAAAAACAAGTTTTTTCAAGGATGAAGATGAATGAATGCATTCTATTCTAATTAGACAAATAAAGTGAATTTTGATCATTTTAATCCCGCCTTTGCTCTTCCCTATCTCATAAATGATTTCCCTCAGCTTGAAATAAGTCTTTGCTTTTTTTTTCTCGCTCAAACATTCAAATGTAACTATAATTGAGCGTAGTTTATTTTCTACTTCATTTTTTATAATGATTCTGAAAATATATATTAAATACCTGGTATGACACATAATTAATTATTTTTAAAAAAAAGGTTTTGATCATTGCATTAAAAATTTGTGCAAATTGTTCAAATTTTTGAAAACTTTTCGTAATTTTTGATTCTTCATTATGTTCTTATTCTTGATACTTTCTACAAATCAAAAAATGAGAAATAAAAAATTTTGAAACAACTACTTTTGAAAGTGTGTTGTTAACTGTTAAATAGGAATAAATAGTTTGGAATATGATATTGAATGCCTTAATTTCTTTTTTTAAAGATATTAGTAAAATGAAGCAAAACGAGGTGATAAAGCACTGAAACTTTCAGAGAAATCGTAAAAAATAGAAGAAATCAGTGTTGAAATTCTTATTCCGATTGTGATATTTGCATTTTTCATCAAATGTATTTATATCAAGAATTATTTCGAGCATTTTAATTAATATTTAAAGCAGCTTATAAATGACAGACAAAAAAAGCTCACAATATGTTCAGCAGACCATGACAAACAGTTTTTTTTCCGGTATTGTTTATTTACCTCAAATCGAGGATTTAGTAAATTTGCAAGTGCACATTCTTTCAAAAATTTAAAATTCTAAATGATTAAAAATATTGTTGGCATTAGTAATGCAAGGCTTTGAATCTCAAAATATGATTCAGTGACAAAAAATGTTAAGGTCCAAGCGTCAGATTAAGTAGTTTTTAGAATATAAAAACATATAACAATTCCATAATAAAAACATATATTCTTCCTCTAAAAGAATATCATAACAATTCCATATTATTTAAAAAGATGAAATTTAAAAAAATGTACACTGCGTTTATTTTCACTGAAAAAATTAATGATAGAGTAGCGGTTGTCAGAAAATATTTACATCAACTCATGTACAACATTGCAAACATCAAAGCAAAATATTTAATATATTTCGCACTTTATTTTGCCTGATGAAGAGAGTTATTTCAGACAGGTATCAAGTTTATATTCGTACTTTAAGATACATTTCGTTAAAAACGTATTTACTTGAAAACAATTCTCTTCTCCATTTTTTTCGTTAAACGAAATATAAATCTTGATTAAATAAAGTTTATGCGAATATTTTATTCCGTTTTCGTGCATACTGTTCAAATGAGAAGCATAAATCTTCGAAATTGTCAAAAGTAATTGGTTGGTGGAAGAGTATTCAAATTTGTTTGTGTAAAACAAAACTTTTGTCTCTCACTTCATTATTTTAGAGTCGAGAATCAGGTTCATTTCCTATTTTTAGGTTGAAAAAAAAGTCACATGAAGCATGCATAATCTATGTATTCATTTCTTATGTGGTATCATAAACTCTTATATTTCTCTATCGTACTGGCAACACTATAACAGGGTTGCCACAGTCGACTAAAAATGCAACTATTTTTGGCATGAGGCGACTATGGCAACTTTTTTTTGCCTGAAAAGGCCAAAAAAGGAACATTTTTCAAGAAAAAGAGACTATTGGGAGACTTTTCTGTACTCCTAGTGATGTTTTTTTTTTTTTGTTTTTTTAAGCATAAATTGGGTAGAAAATCTGCACTCCACAAGATAGTTTCTGAGCAGACTGATCTTTTTTTTCTTCTTAAAAAATAAAAATTTTGAATCGCAAATTTGAGTCTTCACTTTTTAAATCCGTTCAATCTGTAAAGACTCCATTGTAACTCTATTTCATTTCTCGATCGCCTTTTCAATGATTATTGCTACGAAATTCCAAATGATTTATAAAAATAAATAAATAAATAAATTTATACGATATTAGGATGCGTGAGTTTCGAATTTGAATAATCACTTCATATATATATATATAGGTATATATATATATANTACGGACTCATTGTATATATATATATATATCATGATATATGACAGTTAAGTCATTAACAAAATTCTAGTCACATTTTTGATGAATTTTTGTTCTTATTTAGGCCACTATTTTCCGAGTTTTTGGCTACTATTTTCATGTTTTAAGCTACTAAAAGCAACTATTTTGTTAATTTTTTTTTCTGTGGCAACCCTGTATAATGATTATTCATTTTGTCAGGCTGTCTTAAAGTAATAATTGTAATGATTTAAGTAGTGTTGAATAGCTACCCAATCAGCACACAGAAATGAAGCCCCCATATTGGTTTGCGGGGCTCTTATGAACTCTTGTTATTGTTCCTATCTTATGAAGGGTTTTCCACAATGGCCGACACGCCTTGGATCTTTTTTTTTTAAAGTTATCTCTGTATTTAAACGTTTTATTTATAAAGCATGTTTTATTTTTAAAAATACATTGGATTTGAAGGAAAAGCAGGAATATTATTCATAAAATTTAACTGCTGCCACAACATAAATGTAAAAGAGATTTTTTTTTCTCATTACAGCCCTGGTAAACATATATCTTGGTAAACATATAAAATTAAAACAGATTTTTTTCAGAAAATATTAAAACTGATTTAATATCATTTACTACATTGGCTTCACGCCTAATAAAATCTGTAGTTTGAGATGAACTTCCATGTGGAAATTAAACAACCTCCCAATAAATATATCAATATCTGGCAATTGGGTCTATTTCCGATTGTCCCCAGAATTGCTGCTCTCTTATCGAACCCAGTGGGCACTAAAACGCGGCGTTGGAGTAGTGTCGTCTATGACATGCAACCACAAACCCGTTTACAGGGCTGATTACAATCACACAGAAGAAAAGACATAGAACACAGAAAGACAAAATTACATTTATGCTTGCGTAGGGATTCGAACCCACAACCACTGACCTCGCAGTCCAATACAGTAACCACTAGACCAGGCACCTCCCAATCTTCAATGATAGATATTTTTATAAAAACTAAAAATGGCGTGAAATGCTTATGCTATTTTTCCTTGCAAAGCGTTTTCTACATTTTAAAACAAATCTTTCTTCTTATTTTATGTTAATTAGGTCGTCTCCAAGATTTATCGAACGGCGATTTGGAGAAGAGAGATTCACCGTCTCCAGTCACTGTCTTCTCTGGATCTGAACAAGGTAACAAATATTGTGATTACAACTTAAAGAAACAATGCTTTGTTCATTAAGTTAAAAAAGATGACATCAATTAGTAAGTCTTAATTTTATCTTCAAGCGAAATGAAAGAAGCATCGTAATTCTAATCATTTACTGCAAACAACTCGCATTACCTATTTTATGGAAAGCTCAGTTAAAATATTTTTATTCCACAGATATTTAGCTTTTTAACGCCCATTCTAAGGAAAACATCCAGTAAATTCTCGTTTCTGCAATGCTTCTAGCTCATTTTGTTTCACCTGTTCATTGCCAACGCGAGAAAAGAAATTCTATTGATTTTGTGACCATATACAGAGATAATGCATTATTTAAATCTTCTTCGTCTTCACTGAGATGTGGGAGGGATAGTTCTGTAGCAGTTATCTCCAAATTTTAAGTTGATGAGATAAATTTTTAAATCAAAGTTTAAATTTATCTATCTTTGGGTTAGAAATGGAAAACTCTTATTACATAAAAATATAAATACTAAATGTTTACATTAATAATTTAAGAAAATATTGATTGTCCCTAAAAATATTTATAAAGTTATGATCCACCACCTGCTTGTTCCTTAATTGCCTCTCATTTATTATTGTACTTTTCCTTAAATATCAATATTTTTCACAAAAAATATTTGTTATCAAAATATACAAATATTGTTGTTAAATGTAAGAACATTTCCTTGATATGTAAGTCATAACAAAATGTATGATTTCCAGGATTTAAATAATAATCGTCCGTAAATAAATTTAACTAAATGAATGCCTATTATAAGTGAATCAATTAGAAGGAATAAATAAGAAATAGTTTTATTTTATCACGAGACTTATATTAGTTTAAATAGGGAAAGATTTTTACCTCACTTGTGTTATTTTTTTCAAAAAAAAAAAAGAAATTGGTGGCATAAATGTTAAGATTTATGTCTGGCAACATATAATCTTCCTCCTTTTTTTTGTTGTTTTTATTATGAACAGAAGCCCGAGCTAATAAAATAAAGATCTCGAGAGAGAAAAGGAAAACATTTTCTTGTTGAACACCCAAATCAGTGGAAGTATCAGTTTTTAATAAAAACAGAATCAAATCATTCTGAAGAAAAAAATTTTATTATTCTTTATTGAGTCATTTCGAACAGTGTAATAGTAAATTTATGGGTAAGATTGGATTTAAATTCATATATCTTATTAGTTGAAATTAATTTGATCAGGACTTTTATTTTTTCCTCGTGGATGTGATTTTGTAATATTTTTCCGACTGTAAAGAATTGATCAGAATGGCGAATAATTAATAATTTATAATTAATAATTTATAAATAATAATTTATAATTTATAGTTAAAAATTTATAATTAAAAATTAATAATTAATAATTTGTAATTAATAAATTCGGTGTTTCAAATGAACTTAAGGTGAAGTGATCAAATGAAAAAAGACACAAGGCGCTGCCTAGTTTTGGTCTCTCATCTTGAACTACACTAACCTTTAAACTTACCCATATTTATGTAAACAAAACAACAGATCACAAATCGCAGGAGGGAAAATAGCTTTCAATCGACATTTAAAAATTATTGAAGTTGTTAGAAAGTCACAGTCTTTTAAAGAGTTTAAACAAATTCGATAAGGGGTACTTATTTGGCGATCATTTACATTTACTTTTTTAAAATAATTCATAATAGGTTTATAATAAAGAACGAAAATAAATATGCCTTTTATTATAGTTCTTCTAATTGCTTCTCCGTTCTTACTTAGGTTTTACTTAAAAGAAGATTCAATTTCAGAACACTTGTTTGAAAATATTTCGAACAAAAATATTTATAAGTCATCCCGTTCTATTTGTTTCAAAAAATGCTTTCGAAATTAACCTCTAATGTTAAAACTTTCAATGAAGATTTCTTTCTAAAAGTTTAATTCAAACTTTCGGTAAGATTTTTAACTTAAATTGAATTAGTAGTCAAGAATTGGGGAAATAAATTTTCAAACTAAGGAAAACAAATAATTGATTTTCTTGAGTATAAAATTGGATATTGAGCTGTTGGAAGATTTTGAGAAACCAGAAGTTTTAATTATCGCAAACTATTCCCCATTTTGGAAATGTGAGAGGAAGAAAAAAATAAACAGAAAACATCGGAAGTTCTGAACTAACTTGGAATTCCGATAAAAATGAATACCTTATCATCGGTTGTAGAAAAATTATTTCCCGGATATCAGACACGGATAATGAAATCTTCAAAAATCTGGAAAATCAAATCTTCTTCATAATTATTTGCTTTTTGACGAAGTGAGACGCCTTTCTTTTATCGAGTCGTCAAACAACTACACTTTTAACTCTTTTCCCAGAAAATAACGAATCAAATCACTTGACGGTTTATGGATCATCTCCCCTCTCCCCACACGCATAGAATAGCCTCAAATTAAGATTTTCTAATTGGATTTTGAGGAATGGAGTGGAAAAGAATGAAAAAAATAAGGAATTCTAAAATTCTGGCCAATTAACTCAGAACAGAACAAATTCTTTTTATTTTAATTGGAAGATCCACCCAATTAACTGTAGGCGAGTGGAGAAAAAATGTCGACGAATGATGATATGCAAATAAAGAATTCGTATTGGTCTCTAATCGAAAGCAGCCAATTAGCTCTTTCTGTGCATCATTCATGCAGTTTTGGTTTTTCTTTCGTTTTTATTGGACTTGCAAGTTTAAACATTGATCAACTGTTGGTTTTTTTGTGGATAATATCTCGACTATGTTTCACTCTGAAAACTTAATGGTATTTAAAAACTGTTCCATGTGAGCGAAGAATATGCGTCTCGAAATGAAAGCTGAGGAATTGAATTAAATATATTTTTTAAAAACACGCATATTTATTATTATTATGTTTGGTTTAACTATCAAATACTCAAAAAAAATTGTTTACTTTGATGAAACAGTTTATTTTATTATTAACTAACTACAAAAATATTTTTTTTTTGAGTTATGACTAATTGAACTATTTTAGTCTTAGTTGAAATAATGCGAAAACAACGGAAAAAAAGACGAACAATTGTTTTTCTGTAAAAATTGCAATAAATTTCAACTTTAACAATAATTAACAAACCGACAACAGTCAACAACAAAACACGAGATAGGAAAATGGCTAGAAAATAGAACGGATACAATAACCTGGAAGTTTCGCTTAAGGAAAGAGTAGAGTGCCTCTTGCTGTAAAAATCCCCATCCATATTTTAAATTTGAAAATAACGACAAACGGCTTTAAAATTTCTGGACGAAGTGTTACTCATATTACGTCTAAATCATGTTAGAAACTTATCCCTATTTTCCCCGACACAATTTTTGAGTACAAGAATTTTAAAATCAAAAGAATATTCTTAAATGGATAATAAATTTTTAAATTTGGCAAAATTTATTATTGTCATGTATACAAAGAAGCGGCCTTAAAATAACATGCTCTGAAGAATAAAAAATACAAACTTAGAACAAACTTTAAAGAAATAAATCTAATGAAAAAAATAAATAAAAATCGAAATCGACCTTAAGCTCAATGACATCTGAAAGCAATGATATGATGTCAGAATTCAAGTAAAAATATTATACAGCGAAGCTCTTTTTTTTCTCTGCTGAAGTTAATCAGATCTGAAGCTAAGACTCGAAACTCGGGTTGTATAAAAAAGGTGATCAGACCAACGGTTATCTGTGGGTCAGAGATTTGGACCTTGACCCCGAAACATGAGAAAAATTGCATCTCCTGGGAGAGGAAAAGCCATTTTTGAACCACAAAAGGATATTCTTAGGCTTAGAAATTTTAAAAATAGTCCAACAGTTGGAACGCATAAAAAGAATGATTTACTATAGCAAGCTTAAAGAAAACTTAAAAGGCCATTGATAGATTAGGTTGATAGGCACCTCAAGATTTTGAATATCCGAAATAGGAAAGTGAAAATACGAGGACAGATAGCTTTATAGTCGATGTTTCAACGAGAGTAAGCAAGACATTGAAGAAAAAAAATATTTAAATTTAGAAATGTGACAAATAGTAAAAGTAGTACAGTAAAATTATTATTTTAACTCGGCATCCAAAATAAGTTGTCTTACCCTGCAATGAAGACAAATATATTTTGGGGAAATATGTTTTTCTCCCAATAAAACATGGAAAAATCACCTTTTTTACACATCGTTTAAGACGAAAAATTTTTGTTGGATGACATATTTGAAAACTAGAGAAAAATCAATTTTAAACTTACATATTGTATCCAGTAATAACTCAAAGAATTATTACATTAGCATTGGAATAATGTAAATGGAGAAAACAATAAAAGAACAATTTAATAAGAATATACTTGAAGGATCAGATAAAAAATCTTTTTACCCCTTTAGGGGAGAAATAATCCCGGCAATACCATATTTAATACTAAACCTTCCCCAAACTATAATTTTTAAATATCGTTTTCCTTTTTTAATTTTTACCTATTTTCTTAAATTGTTCACTTAAATTAAATTTCTAACAATAGTCATGCGAGTTTACCCACCCCCTAATCAATATATTCCCAACTGTTTAGAAGATGGACTACACTTATACCCCCCCCCCCCAAAANCCCCCCCCAAAAAAAAACTTTTCGAGTAAACATAATTTACTTAAGAACTTTCCTAAAACCACGATTTTTGATCTCTTTTATTTTTTAATTCGCACGTAAATTAATCACTGATTAGGGTTTTTTTTCCTTAGGCTTAGGTTTTGTTCTAAGCAACAAAAATGATCCCCTTCTCGATTGTCTCATCCCCTAAAATCAAAGGGCATTTCTCGTCTACTATATAATGATCTTTTTTTTTTTTTTTTAATTTTTAAACTATCAAAATTTCGAATCAGAATCTTAACATTTTTATAGAAAGGTTTGTGCAAAGCAAGAATAATAACTTAACAGAGTAAAAAAATTAGAAACGAAAAAAAAAATAGTTTCATTTAGCATATTTAATACAAAATTGATCTCCGTTTC